GGGCTGCCTCTGCCCGGGCAGATTCTGGGTCACAGTGTGTCCTGTGTGCTCGCCCAGGGCTTGGGGCGGACTTGTTTCCTGCAGAGGGGAAGAAATGGAACCGAGGTGCTGGGCAGAAGCTGGGAAGGAGCAGGAGCCAGGCTGTGCTGCTTTCTGCCCGTTGTTCCAGGGGCGCAGGCCTGTGGCGGGCCTCTCCTTTGGGTTGCGAGCCCCAGCCCGGCTGCCCTGGTGCGGTCATTGTCCAGCAGTCTTGGCCGTCGGGGAGGGGAAGGGCCTGCCCCCAGCCGTCCTCAGCTAAGGTGGGCTCTGAGATGCTGCGTTAGGTGTGGAGGCCAGAGGGGCAGGTTCCCACGGCTTCCCCATTGGTGTCCCTCCCACCAAGGCTGCAGGGAGGACAGGCTGGGGCTCCCAGGCACCTGGCAGTTGGGCTGAGGGTGCTGGCCCTTGCCGTCCTCTGCCACGGCTGTGCATCCTTCCCTGTCACCCTGGGCTGGGCTTCCAGGCCCGGGGAGCAGTGGTGCCTGCTCACATGCTTAGCACCCACATTGCTGCCCTCGGACCTGGGGCACAGTGTCAGGGCAAGGGCCCTGGCTCATGGGGAAGGCAGATGGGACACAAGGGAAATGAAACAGGATGCTCCTCTGAGGAGGTGCGCTGTGGGAAGAGTCTGCGGGCCTAGAGGGGACCAGGGCTCTGGGCCGGGGGAGGGAGTTGTGTTTGGGGAGCAGGAGGGCCAGGGTGATGGCGGGGGTGGGGAGCGAGGCTTGGACATTTGGGAAGGCCCAGCAGGCAGTGGAGTTTGATTCTGGGCAGTCGGGGCTGCTGGAGCGGCTGGACCCAGGAACGATGTCCTGAGAGCTGACTGTGTGTGACTCCTCCAGCCAGTGGGCCGGGGAGGCTGTGGGGAGACCTGGACAGGCTGGGAGCCCGAGGGGTGGAAGCCGGGGTGCTCCCCGAGGGATGTGTGCGGTGTGAGCGGACAGGGTGGTGCCTGCTGGTCTGGCGGGCTCTTCATGAGGCAGAGAGGGCAGCGAGTCCTGCATGGCCAGCAGGTAAGCTCGTGCAGGGCTGCTGTCAGGGCGCGGTGGGCGGACGTGCAGCTGGTGCCAGGCCACACTCTCCCCACAAGGCCAGCACAGAGGCCATAGTGCCTGGCCAGGGGCAGGGGTGCTACAGAGACCACTGGGCGCACCCCCTTCCCTAACATCAGGCATTGGGGCCTGGGGCCAGGGCTGGCTGTGCCTTGCATCTTTTTTCTCCCCGAAAGGCTGAGTGGGTTCCGTGTGCACACGTGCCTCCATGCCTGCGTTGTGAGCTGTGGCTGTGTCCCTTCCCACTCCGCGCGTGGTCTCTGTGGTTGTGGCACCAGTGGGACTCCAGACCTCCCAGGCCGGCTGATTCTCTACCGTGGGGCTGACCTCGGCATGGTAGGATGGCAGCGGTGTCCTGGCCTCTGCCCATGAGATGTCGAGTTCTCTGCATCCCTTTGCTCTCCAGTTGTGCCGACTAGAAATGTCCCAGGCAGTCCCTGTGGACACGGCCATGTGGCAGGGTTCCTGCTCTGGTGAAGCGAGTCCCACAGTGAGCTGGTGTCGTTGGCCGTGCACAGCAGGAAGCAGAGGTGGAAGTCGGGGCGTCACCCATGGGCAGAGCTGGGTTCACACCTGGAGGGGGACCCGCCCCTGCCCTTGCGCTTGCAGCTCTTCCCAGCCTGGCTGTGGTAGCCCTCTTGTCCTGGCCTGGGCCTCACTGCGTGCGTGCGTGCGTGCGTGCGTGCGTGCGTGCGTGCGGCAGAATGCGAGCCATCTTCCCTCCCTCCCCCCACGTCCTTCCTCTTTCTTTGCCCCAAGGCTCGGCCAGCCCCGCAGGCATGGCTTCCCAGTGCTGGGCCCTCAGCAGGTGGGCTTCTGTCACCAGGGCCTCTGACTGGGCAGGGCTCTTGGCGCCCTTGGAGCCTCCCTCCCCCGAGAAGCAAAGCGCAGCCAGGGCAGTGGCTCCTCAGCCGGACGGACGGAGCCCCCCTGCCCCCGGGGTCAGAGGTGGACATGCAGTGTCCCTGAGGGTTGGGACCATGGAGGCGTCGCAGGTCCTCGGTGGCTGGGGCACAGCACCCTCCCCCATGGCGCTGTGCACGGGGACCAGGACCGTGGGGGGCAGGCCGGCCCCAGGTCAGGGGCTGGAGCGTGCTTGATGGGAGGGCCAGGGGGCGCTGTCCTGCACTGGGGTCTGCCAGCCGCTCTCACTTGCACCGGCTCAGAACCCTGGAGTGCGGTGCTGCAATGCCCACATTCTCAGTGCATAGCTTGGGCTGGGGTCTGCAGGGCTGGGGTTGCCCCACCCGCCCCAGTTCGGAGAAGTGGGCTCGGCACTTTCAGAGGGAGGGAGCTGGGGCCGGTGAAGGCGGTGGCAGGTGCTGCTCCTGCAGTGGGCCGAGAGCCCTGGTGCTGCTCTGAAGGATTGTTCCAGAGTTCCGCGTGCGCAGGGGCTCCCACCGGGGGGTGGTGAGGGTACCAGGATAGCATGCCAGGTGCAGCACCAAGTCAGCTTTGCCGGGTCTCCATTTGCCCTCCCCTGGGGGCCTCAGACCAGGGGGTGCCCCCTGCTCCTCCAGGCTGGCAGCAGAGCTGCAGGGGGGAAGGCCCGAGTGCTGAAGCCAGCCTGGGCAGTATGGGGGGCTCTGTGGGTGGGGCTGGCTGTGGCACTAGGAATTGGGGGTCTGGTGTGCAGGGGCTGAGGGAGGCTGGCCTCACCCAGCCCTTCCTGCCAGCCCCTCTGCCAGCTCCTGTGGCCTGTGGGTCGCTGTGCAGCTAGCTCTGCAGACGCCCTCTCCTCTGAGTGAGAGAGAAGCCTCCCCACCTCCTCGAGCTGGGCTCCCACCCATGCATCGGTCTGAGACGCTGTGGCTTTTCAGGCAGGTGCTTTTCCGTGCCTCCCTCATCCTGAAAGCAAAGGCCTCGAGGACAAAGACAGGTGCTCTGCTCTCGGCTGGGCAGGTCTGTGAGGTGTGCACAGCCCAGGGCTGTAAGCCCCATGCTTCCTTGGAGGAGAGGGCTGGGGACAGACCAGGCAGGCTCAGCTGTTGCACAAGGTTTCCGTGTGGGGTGTGGGGGCTGGTGTGGTGGCGGCAGCAGCCAGGATGGGGCCCCCAGCTAGGCCCCAGCAGCATTGGTGCCTTGCTCTGCCCTGCTCTGCCCGGCAGGCCGCTCCTCGTGTTCCCTCCCGGCTCGGGTGGGTTCGTGCATCGGATGTCAGTTCGAGCCGTGCGTCCAGTGGAGCCCGCCGTCAGCCCCCCACTCGTACGTACGTTAAGCCTCTTCACAGTGCTGGACGCATCACCCTGGCAGGGGCTAGGAAGCAGCTCCTTCCCTTTCTCTGGTTCCTGCGGATCACTGATCTTTTTGCCTCTGTAGATTTGTTTGTTCTGGATGTTTCAGGTAAATGGGCTTGTATGACAAGATGTGACCCTGGTGTCTGGCTTCGTACTGCTTTTGAGGCTCACTGTGTTGGTGGCACGTGTCAGCGCTCTCTTCCTCTTCCGGCCAGATAACGTCCTGTCTCAGGGACAGACACGCCTTCCTTTCACCCATTCAGGAGTGCCTGGCCGTTTGCTTGTTCCTCCTACCTCTCTTGTGACTAGCGTTATTTTTAATTCCATTGTCTTCGTTCCTTTTCTCGTTGCTAAGACAAAATACTCAACACCCAGAATTACGGGAGGAAAGGTTTATTTGTCTCCCAGTTTGTGGAGGTTTCAGTCCATGATTGCCTGGCTCCAAGGCAGGGTGGCACGGCAGAGGGGAGCCCAGAGGACAGCAGCTCATGGCAGGCACAGGGAGCAGAGCAAGCAAGAGCTAGGACCACAGCTCTCTCTGTCCCTTGTGTCTTTCTTACCCAGGCTGCTTGGGGGCAGGCAGCGCTCACACCCTTAACCCTAGTGCCTTTGAGCCTAGACTGCACCGTGCATCAGTCCCAGCGTCATCGTACACTAGATCCAGCCACCTCTGGAAAAGTCCTGCCTGTGACCACTTCAGGCACTGGGGGGACATCCAGACCAAGCCGTGCCCCTCATGAACCTGTTGTCCTTGTAAGGAAGTTCAGGCCCACACAAAACCCACACCCCATGGCTGCCCCTGTCCCCTTTGCATTATTGTGCTGTGTCACAGGAAGCTCCTCTGGGACCCGTGAAGGTGGCAGTCCCATGGGAGGCAGCCTCACCCACCTTCAGGCGGGCCGTCAGTACACATTTGTACCTTTAGCATGAGCAGCAGCTCTGTCTTGCAGTCTGCACCCATCTTGCTGCTGCTTTCTCAGTGCCGTGGGCAGGGCAGGGCAGGGCCTCCTGGGTTCTCAAGTGCAGGCCGCTCCGGGGACGTTGGGCGCTGCTGTGTCCCCTGTGGGTGGCTGAGGCACCTGTCTGGGAGTACGGGCTCCCCTTGGATCCAGAAGGGTCCGGCCCAGGGGAGGGAGAGCCCTGCGATGCCGAGGGAGCTCCCTCCAGAGGGCTGTCCTGGATTCTGGTCCTGCCTGGCTTGCAGGTGGTGAGTGAAAGTACAGGAATGATGTCCTACTTTTCACCGGAGTCAGGGTGGGGTGGGGAACCAGGGCCCATCTTCCCAGTGCAGGAGGGAGCTGGGGCCCTTGCTCCGGGGTTGCAGAGGCCCGTGTTGGCGCTGTGGCGGCAGGTGCTGCTCCTGCAGTGGGCCGAGAGCCCCTTGTCCAGCCTGGACTGGGACTGAGTGAGGCCCTGACGCCTGGGCGCTGTCTGAGCCGAGCATCGGAGTGGGCTCGGGGTAGATCCAGCTGAGGGCCGTAGGTGCTGGCTGTTGGGGCCCGAGGGAGGCTGCAGCCCGTTTCCACCTCGGCGCCTTCGCCCCTTGCTGGAGCGTTCGCACCACACACGCTCAGCCCGTCAGCCCTGGCCACAGCGGACGCAGACGCCCTGCGGAGCTCGCTGGTGGGGGCGGGGACCCGGGCCACCCACCTGACCCTCTGCTTGCCTGCAGGCTGACTCCCCACTACATCTACCCGCAAGCCATCATGCAGCCCAGCGTGGTGATCCCGGCCCCCGGCCCCTCGCTGACCTCGCCCTACGTTGAGTATGCTCCAGCCAGCCCCGCCTATGCCCAGTACCCGCCAGCTGCCTACGACCAGTACCCGTACGCCGCCTCCCCTGCCGCAGCCACCAGCTTCGTGGGCTACGGCTACCCAGCCGCCCTGCCACAGGCCCTGTCGGCCGCAGCCCCCGTGGGCACCACCTTCCTGCAGTACCAGGCGCCACAGCTGCAGCCCGATCGGATGCAGTGAGGTCCGGCCCACTGGGGACCGCCGTGCCACCAGCATTCGGGCCTCCGGAGGCCCCTGGGCGACACCTCGCACTGTGAGGTCCCTTCTGGGGTGGCCAACGAGAAGCGAGGTGACCGCGGCGGGTGCCCGCCTGCACATGAGCTGGACACCCTCTTCCAGCCCCTGCCCCGCACAGCGCCGCTGCGGGCAGCCATCGCCTCGGTCGGAACGCAGACTGGTTTCCCTGTTGTAATTGTTTTGCTACTAAAGTGATCTCAGAGTTGGAGTCCATTTTTTCAGTGGAGCCTGCCGCCACCTAGAACCCTAAGCCTGCTTTGGACTCGGAGAGACTTGTTTTTGCTGATGGTTCCACCTCGGAGACGACGACAGTATTCCGTGTCACAGTGTCTGCCAGCCGCTGGCCAGAGCCCTCGGTGGGTGGGTGGGTGTCATCCGCGGGCCCTGCTGGGTGGCGTCTGCCGCCCTGTGCTGAAGCTGCTCAGCCGCCCAGAGGGACACAGGCCTGCTGCCTTGGGCTGGCGGAGGGGAGGGGACGCTCTGATGCTGGGAGTGGCTCCGTCGGGGGCTCTCGGGGCTGGGAGGGTCAGGGGCCCCCTCAGACCTACCTCAGGGAGCCGAGCTTGCAGGCGCTCTGGCACGCCTGGTATAAGTCAAGGCCCAGAAAACAAAGGTAGCTAATATAATACTATTTTTATTAGAATATTCTGATTATAAAAATAAAACTTGTTTTCTTTGGAGAGAAAATCGGTCTTCAGTTTTTTCTCTTGAAGCCGGGTGCCTGTGGTAGCCCTGTGCCTAGCCCTGTAGTCTGGAGCCAGTGGTTCTGACAGCGGTCCTCGCTGGCAGCTGGGCGTCAGGGCGATGGGACAGCCATGGCTCCATCCAGCTTAGGCCATACCGGAGCTGTGCCTCAGGTACATCCAGTGGAGCCCACCCCAGGGCCTTTGCACCTGCTGGTCCCTCTGTCACTCTAGCTTTTATGAGCTGACTGCTCCTTCAGCTCCTTGGCTTCCTCCATGTCCTTGCCTCCCCTTGTCCCATCTCATCTCCTGCTGTACTTTCACACCTGGTGCTGGCCAGACACAGTGGGAAACTGAGGCCTTCGAGCGAGCATACTGGGGATTCCTGACGGGACAGGCCCCAGCTGGCAGTGGGGATTTCAGGGCTGCCCATTCCAGTAAAGCTCGCTGAGCTGGTCTAGCAGGGGAGACCAGGCGGGCTGGATGGAGGGGCCGGAGAGCAGAGTCCCGCTCAGGTCCACAGGTACCAGGAGTGGGCGGGGAGAGGTGGAGGAAGAGTCTTCGGGAAGGATGAGCGGGGTGTGGGAGCAGCTGCCCCACCCCCCGCTGCCACTGAGGAAGAAATCCCCAGGCCTCGGCCTTAGCTTTGCGGCAGGGGTGGGCACCCTGGTGGGGAGGTGCCTGGGGCCTGACCACCTTCCTGCATTGCCCCTTCTGGCTTTTCCAAGTCCCTACTTGTAGCACTGTGTTCCTGCTGCCCTGGGGTCCTGCCCAGGTTGCCCTGCCCCTCCCTCTCCCCGCCCCAGCACCCTGGTTTGCAAACAGCGTGAGGTCAGGGGGCTCAGTGGCTCCGGGCTCCCCAGGCCGTGCTGCACTGATAGCCCGGGGCCAGGGTGTGCGGGCACTGCCAGGGTTATCGGGAAGGCCACTCGCAGCCAGCACATTTCCTGTCCCTATCAGCCAGCGACAGGCTCTGGAACAGGCCTCCAGGAAGGCCTCCAGGCCTGGAGAGCAGTCCCGGGGCCCAGGAGGAGAAGCCCAGAAGTCACCTGTGCTGTACACGACTGGCAGTGTAAGAGCAAGGACCACACGGACCTCGGCTATGGCCGGTGTGGTGCAGGTCTGGCCCTGCGTACTGCCTGCCTGGACGGTCTCCGTCCCCAGGAGACATCAGGCACAGGTGGGGAAACGGAAGAGGTGGCTTCTGGGGAGGTGAAGACAGGGCTGGCGCTGGCCCTGCCCCACCCAGACCTTGGCCTTGGCTTCCCTGAGCTCCCTGTGGTGTCCTGGGAGCAGGGACTTCCTGGCCTCCCTGTCCCTGTCAGCCAGCGCACGCCTGGCACCCAGCGGGGCACAGCCAGGCCGGGCCAAAGCAGGCCGTGTGCCAGGCTCTGCTGCCACTCCGCTCCTCCTTCCCTGTCTGTCCTGTCCCTGGCCCCGTGCCACACAGTGGAGGGCCAGGGTGCACGTGCATTACACTGTACACACATGCTTGTGCATGCACACCTCAGCACACACTCCATGCCTCTCCACAGGCACATGCGTGTAGGCAGAAACCGACACATGCTTACGGATGTAGACTCAGACTCACTCGTGCACATATGTGTGCACACATGCATGCGTGTGCTATCTGTGGGCTCGTGTGTGTACAGGGACACATGTGCGAAGACAGGCCAGGCACAAGTGCTGAGATACACAGACACAGTGATGCCTACACATTGCACCGATTCCACACACACCTGCACACACAGACACACACGTGTATATGCAAAAATAGCCACATGTCTACATGGATGGCACGAATACACTGAAAGCTAGACACAGGCATGTGCTAGGTGACTTGAGTGGAGCTGCTGCTGTTGCCCTCTGCTCCACACAGGGGTCCTGGGGCCACAGAGCTGAAGTTTTGAGGCTGCACAGACTTGGGGCGGAGCTGTCCAGGAGGCTGGGGCTCCCTGCTGGCCATGGTAGAGACCAAGCCTGGCTCCCAGGCCCCAGAGCTCACGCAGATGCCTGTCCTGCACCTGCCCCAGGGGCCCCAGCATCCCCAGCAGGACTGAGCGCCAGGTGCCATGCTGATAGCAGCACCACCCTTCCCTTCCCGTCCTGGCCCCTCATCCGGGCTCCACACCGGCAGAGGTGATTTGGAGGGACACAGCCACCTCGAGCCTGTGAGTCACAAGTGGTCCCCACTTCAAGGCGCCATGAGGCTGAGAGGGCCTGGGGTGGCATGGCCTCAGGGCCAGTTGGAGGGCTGGAGGCTGCAGGGTGCAGAAGGCCCTGAGCCCCTCCCAACTGCAGGACAGGAATCTCCTGCAGGGTAGGAGCAAGGGCAGGTGCACAGTGCTCCCCTTACTGACTGGCATCTCACTCTCTCCCACTTTCCAGAGGGGCAGACTAAGGCCCAGAGAGGAGAACGGGCTTTGGGCTCTGGTCTGTCTGCCTCTGAAGCCTGCCTTGTTGCTCCGTGGCTCCATGCTTCAATTCCTGAGCATGCCTCCTTCAGGCACGAAGACTGCCCCGCCTTGGCCTGCTGTGGTGGAAAAGGCTGGATTTTCACTTTGGAGTTTGCAGGTGGTGATGTGATGGCTGGAGCTGCAGCTGCCGTCTTGATCCCTGCGTGACTGACTGAGCCAGGTTACATCCCGTGATAGCCACGGCCCTGCCTTCCGGGGCTTCACTAGGATGAAAGGGGATGAATCAGGCGATGCTCTCAGTTGAGCCCGGTGTGGGCAGTCCCTCAGCCCCTGCAGCCATGGAAAAGCTGAGTTGGAGGCAAAGTGGAGGTGAGAAAACCTCCCTAACTCCTGCAAACCCCACCACTGGCCTTTGGGTCCCACTGGCTGATGGAGGGCCTCTGTGTGCCATCGGGTGCAGCAACCACTTGCTTTGCCATCTCATCCCGAGTTTTGGTTGTCCTCAGTGTCCCTGAGCTCCTGAAAATGACGTCTGTCAAACACGGCTGTGCGTGGGTCACTTCCTGAGCCCTCCCGGGGCCCGTGGGAGGCTGGCTGTGCCCATTTCCCAGATGGGAAAACCAAGCCGAGAGAGAGGACAGAGAGGACCCGGACCACACACTGCCTGGGGACAGGCTCCGGCCATGCCCCTTCCCCTGGCTTTGCTCACGCCAAGGCGATGGCCTGGTCCTCCCATGCCTGAGCTGCCGCTGAGTCAGTCACGCTTGTGTTTGTCCCTGGGATGTAAACACTATGTCCCTGTGAGCAGCTGCCAGCAGGCCTGTGGCAGGGTGTTGTGCAGGCTGGTGGGGGTGAGCACCCCGCCCCCCAGATATCTCTGGGGCCTCCTGGGGTCACCGATAAGGCCTGGTCTGCTTATCGGCAGCCCTCGGAGCACGGTGAGCACACTGGGGAGTGGGGACCATCCCTCCCACCCCGTGACAGCCAGCGGAGGGGTCTGGCCCTCTGTCCCGGAGCCTCCTGCTGGCCTCCTGCCCCAGAACTGCAGTCCTGAGGTAGAGGGATTGAAAAGAAAGGTATTTTTCTGAATTATAAAACCAGCATTGTTGGGAGAATTTCCCATTTAGATAAGTATGTTCCAGTAGAGATGATAAGGCCACCAAATGATCGTCATGGTTCATACAAGCAGAGGCAGGAGGGCTCCAGGAGGGTTAGGCTTTCTTCCTGACAGTGCTGTGTGGTTGGCAGCTGAGAAATCCAGCAGGGCTTGGACTGGTGCCCGGCTGTGGGGCTTGTCATCTGCTCTCACGCCAGACACGAGCTGGGGGTGACCCTGCTGCTGTCCCTGCTCTGTCTCCTGTCCGGGCTCACTGGCTCGCCCTTTAGATCCTAAGCCAGAACCTGTGTCCCCTGCAGCGGAGCCTTCTGGGGCTCCCACTGCCTGGAAATAGAATCCCAGGTCCTTGCTGTGGCCTCTGCGGATGACAAAAACTCTCCTCCTCCTCGAGGGCCGCCTGTCCTCAGTCTCGGCTCAAACGAGACACCTGTCAGGGCCTCCCATCCTCATCCTCTCATTTACAGTGGACCCTTGGGTTACGACCGGCCTGACGTACGAACAACTTGGGTTATGACCAGAATTTTAGTTTTAACTTAGAGTCTTGAGTTACGATCCAGATGCCAGCGGCTTGTGCTTCCAGATGGCCTCAGGTACAGATTTAACCCTTAAAGAGTTCTGGAAGGAATGTGACAGCATCCTCTCCTGTGTGTGGTTACCTGAGAAACTCTGGGCCAGGGTCTCTCTGAGGACGCTGAGAGCTGCCTGTGCACAGGAGAGAGACTGTGAAGGCTGTGGAGAGGAGCCTGAGCCTTCACTGACCGACTTGAGTTGAGTGTGGGGAGCCAGGAGGGTGGAACAGAAAAGGCAGCTGTGCCCCAGCCCCCAGCAGCAGCCACACGAGAGCTCCCTGGGTCCACAGTCCGCAGCAGTCCTAGGGTGCTCCCGAAGCCCGGCCAGTGAGGGCCCCCGGGGGAGCTTCGGGAGGAGAGGGCAGGGAGGGGTGTCCCCCCGCCTCGCTGGGGACATCGGTGACAGCCGTGGGTGCAGGGGCTGATGAGACACGAAGGAGGAAGGCGGCTGGGTGGAGGGATGGGGCAACCGGCAGAGGCCCCGTCCCTGCCCGCACAGTGACACAGTGAGCTTGGCCTCCGAGGAGGAGCGGCTGCAGGGACAGGAGCTGGGGCTCAGGGTCAGGCAGACCCGAGGGTAAATCCCCGCTCCTCTCCTGAGAAGCCGCGTGGCCCGGGCAGGTCGCTGGGCTCTCGGGCCCTGCTTCCTCCTCATTAAGGGAGAAGCGTAGCTACCTCGCGGCGCCCCATGGACAGGAAGTGTGGGGTGCTCCCTGGACTGGACTGGACTGGGCTGGGCTGGTGAGATGCAGGGAGCACCGCCCTTTCTCCCCGCTGCCAGCCCTGTCCCGGGAATGACTGCTCCGGCCACCGGGCCACCGGCCACCAGTGTTCAGTGCTGCAGACTCCGGCGTCCTCCCCGGCACCCCTTTCAGTTCTAAAGATCTAGGGG